TCATACAGAGTGGTATAGATTTGAAGAGCCGTTCAGAATTTTCTTTGTATATCCCCAAACATTTTGACTACTCCTGTGCCGGTGACCAGTGTTTGGGCGAGCGGTCGGTGTTTTCAATAAGCGAGCGAGAGAAAAAAAAAACGGTAAAAATGTGGTCGTTTCGGGTCGGAAAATACAGTGCGGTCGGAAATTAAGCGATCGTTTAAAAAGGGAGAAGTGAGGCAAAATGAGTACTGTGGTTCAAGTGATATTAGCATATTTCTCATTTAGTTTTAACTCGTACAATATTTATTCACTCACTCACTGTTTACTATAGCCAGAACGCTGTACTGTCTTCACTTTCAGGTTAGTTCTTCCGCAACCAACAACGTGATTTTTTATTTGGGATTTCGAGAAAAATAACATGAATCGTTATGGCATTCATAACACAACACCTCGCCATATTTCAAATTTTAAGTAGTCAGTTAACAAGGTCTTTCATAGTAGCATTTCTATGGGATTGACGTACTAGCATGAATGGCTTCAATTATCAGTGTTCACTGATGACGTCATTTGACTGGCCCTCTAGAGGCGAAATGACGCTAGGAAAAGCGGACGTTTGTCGTCTGCTTCACAGCCCGTTTTATACTCGATATTTAGGGCATTTTGCAGCACATATAAGTTATTTTTATCGACAGAATTCATTCATAGATCTCAAATTTCATGTACAGAGTGTCAAAAGCTACACTTCTGCTCCCCTTTAATATGGACTACTCTTTGTTTACCTTTTTTGGAAAATTACTGGAGAAATAATAATTAAGTACAATTAGTGAATCTTTTTTTTTGTTTGGCAGCATTGGAGGCAGTATACAGGATATGGCATGGGATCCCACAGGAGAAAGACTGGCTATTCTATTTTCTGGAAAACAAGAAAGCAACAATACTGGCCACTTGGTGGCGCTGTTCAGAACAAGGATCAAACCAGTGTTTGAAATAATGCCTTGGTAAGCAATTCCTGCAAATATAGTTTTGGTTACCATTTTAAATCGGGTCAGATATAAATCTCATTCAATTCCCAGCTTTTGATTCTTGGAATGCATTTATTTGTTACATTGCAGCGGTTTTGTCAAAGGTCATAAAGACGATATGCCACAGCTTGTTAGTTTTCAGCCAAATTTCAACAAAGGTGCCTTGCTTACAATCGTAAGTATATATTATATTAACTTTACATACCCACCACATGTATGATAAATCACCTTTACTATCTGTATAATATACCACAAATTATTTGTCTTGTGCAATCTGATAATTCGACTTCATTATCACAATTACCGTAAAAACTCCAAAATTTTGACCCCTTTAAAAATTTGTTCGCCTGATTATTTACCGGGTTTCGATATTTTATTTACCTCCAAATTTTCAACTCCACTAAAAATTGACGACTTATTCTTATTCGAAAATTGAGACCAGTTTGGGTTTTCCCCCAAACGAAAAAAAACAACGATGTGAGCGTCCAAACGGGACTTTCCTTGAAGGCATGAATCCGGGTTTCTGATTGACTGAGAGATTTTTATTTTATTGGTAACGAAAGTATATTCTAAACGAAGTTTCAAATAAAAACGAACACAACACACATCTTCTACATAGAAGCAAATGATCATGGTTGCAAAATCTGGTCATGCTGCGTTTCTGAATTGTTGATTATTACTCAGTAGTGATTATAATAATGTACACAAAATAAATTCGTTGAATTGTTATGAAATACAAATAAAAGTCAACTTAGTTTCATCGTAAGCGAATGATTCCGGTCTCGTATAAACGTTCGATGCTGTAGGATATCTGCCATGTTCAAATAGGTCAAATCGCTAATTAACCAATCAAAAAGCTGGATGATGCCAACGTGTTCAAATTACCATAGCTCATTTAAATATGTTAATGTTAATGAATGCAATGCGGAAGAGATTGATGTTGTAGTATGATCTTTTGGCTTGGATTTTGATGGGAAAACAGCATGATTTTTTTCTAAATCAAAAAATTAGTTGTTTTTAACAAATAAACTGGGCATTTGAAGAATAATTTAACATTGTTTACAGTGATAACAGCTCATTGTCGAAACGAATCTTACCCGTTCACGTTAGTCACGATAAAAATCATACACTTGAATAGACGTTAATGACTACGGTAAAACTTAGACTCTATTTTAGCCGTCAGGAATGATTGAAATGTCCGAAAATGACGCCAAATACACCTTAAAGTCCCATTTTATTTTTTTAAATCACATTTTATTTTTTAATCCAAGGAGGAATTTACGGCAGAATCTGGTCCCTCAAATAAGGGACACGTGAGCTTTAATTCTAACCAGATACATTGCACTGGGTTGGGGAGATAGTTTGATAAACTTCCATGTATCTTTTGTCCAATGGGTACCTGTACTTCGAACTTTCGCAAGTTTTCCTAGGTGGTGCGAGACAGCTTTGTCTTTTGAACTATTAGTTTTGTGCTGACCTCTTCTCTGTGTCTTGATGTTTTGTTTTCCTTGTCATAATACTCACTGATTAAAGACTTTGTTTTGATTTTGAGTTGTTTAGCCTACAACTCGGCCACGACCTTCGCTTTTACCATGAAACATGGGGAAGTTTACATCAATTGACGGACATTGCATTTTTTAAAGACTAATGAAGCACACTGTCTATCATTCCCATTTTTTTTTAATTGCTATTTCTATTCTGAAAAATTCGACCATCCGAAAATGCACCTTAATTTAAAAAAAAAAAAAAAAAAAACACGGTCGAAATTTTGGAGTTTTCACGGTGGCTAAAGTGCATGCTTTTATTGATTGAACAGATGTTGTAAACAAATGTGTTGTTACTTGTAGTTATTTTGTTTTTATATGTATACAATTTTGTTTTCCCTTTGTACCATTGTACTGAACAAATCACAATTTATTTTATCTCAGATATTATGTACACTAGAAATGGATAGCTGTGCATAATGCTGTCTACTAGAAATTATTTCTTACAGCATTTCTCATATTCTTTGCTTTGTGAATTTCTTGTCTCTAGTTATTACACCACAGTCCTCTGGCTAAACCAACATACACTGGTATTAAATCTTAACGTTGTTTCTTTGCAGTGTTGGTTGAGTGGTCGTGTGTCCTTTGTTCCACTCTTTTTTGTACCTTCAAGTAATGTCGCCAATGATAAACTGCCTGTTTACAGTGACTTCACTAATGGATCTACTTACCAACCACGTATGTTCTCATCACCACACTGATATTGGACTTAATAAGAAACTAGAATATTTATTCAATGTGCTGCCTTTTGTATGTTTTACACTCTGCTTCTTCCATCTCGATAAACATTATGAAACTCTAATATAACTAATTTCATTTCAGTAATATTTGGAATTATAATTAATAAATATGATAGGTTAATACAAATTTTAATTTTTCTCTTTTCACATACTTCGGGGATACTGTAATCAGAAACAAATTTCTGAATTTTGTGAAAAGCAGTAGAAATTGTTCTTGCATCCCACAACACAAAGTGTGATAATTTTTTGCGAAATTTTGTCTTTATAAAAGTCTTAGCAATGAAAATTTAGCAGTATCTTGGAGTTGCTTGTGTTTGAATAGGCCTGGTTGATAGAAGGATGGATGTCGTAGTTGCAAAATCATATGAAAATTTGTGCTTACAACTGGTTTTTAATCCATGTCGAAAACGTGCACAGAATGGTGGCAGAGAACAATAAAAAACGAGCATACGATAGTCGGTAAACAATAACATAATAAGAAGATTCATGCATCATGAAAACAAAAATGTTCAAATATTTTGTCGAAAACGGGGTACAAACTGAATATAGCATGTACGGAAACATTACTGCCGTCTGAAACTAACTTAATTTTATTCAATTAAACAGGGACATATATATTAAAAGTAATATTTACTAGTGAACCACGTTCACGAGAACATCTGATAACTATTGTGTGTTCGTTTGGGGAAAGATACTTGTAGTTCGATACGAAAGTAGTGACATCGCATCGAAGTAAATATGACGTCATTGTTTACTTGCTCATTATAATATTCCAGCCCAGCTTGCGTTGGGCATACGGCATTTGACTTTGGTGTTACTATACTACTATACTGTCTATACAGGGCCCAAATTGATAGGGAGTAAAACACGGAAGTGGAAGAGCTGTCCATGCATTGACCAATCACACAAGAGCTCACAAAACCAAAGAAATATTTGTTGTTGTACTTAACAAAGGGGTTTGACACTAAAAACAATGGAACGTTTATAGGTTTAACGTTGGATTTAGATCGTGTTATAATCCGAATCCCCTAGAAAGAGTTGTAAGCACAAATTTTCATATGATGTGATGTTTGTCTTGGTATGTATTTGAATCAAAATGGTTAGTACTCGCACTCACAATGATAAGAATGTTAATATGAGAGTCAAATGCACAGCTTAGAATTGGCATGTCACTCCAATTTAAAAGCTGCCTTACATTCCATTCTTAAAAACAATGATTTTTGTATGTACTAACACAAGATACTGGTGCTATATATACACCAGTGTTTTAATGTGTCTGATTAATTGAATTTTTATAAACATGTCATATTAGATCAAATGTGAGAATTTATAAGATACAGCCCTGTGTGTAGTTAATAATCACAATGATCTTTGAAATTGAATCATTAACATTCCTCTGGCAAATATTTACATTATTCTAAACCTATTCTATAATCTTGACAACCCCCTTCCTCCACTAATGATTTATAACACCTCATGATCAGATTATGATAACAACACCCTCCAACTAGTAATTCAGAACACCCCGTGACCCTATGCTGACCCTATGCCCTATACAACACCAGCCAAATGATTCCGAACACATTCCAACATTTCTCTAGCACTAGTAACACACACCCTCCCAATGATTAAAAATACTGCAATAGCATGACTTAGCATTGGGAACAGCATCCAGATATCCTCCACTAATTATTTAGAACACAGTATGACCCCATGCTGGTAACTCCCCCCAACCCCACTAACAATTCAGAACACCACATGATCCTATGATGGTAACTCCCCCCAACCCCACTAACAATTCAGAACACCACATGATCCTATGATGGTAACTCCCCCCAACCCCACTAACAATTCAGAACACCACATGATCCTATGATGGTAACTCCCCCCAACCCCACTAACAATTCAGAACACCACATGATCCTATGATGGTAACTCCCCCCAACCCCACTAACAATTCAGAACACCACATGATCCTATGATGGTAACAACCCCCCTTCCTCCACTTACGATTCAGAATTCTACATTATCATCTGATGATATATATCACCATGGTTACATTAGTTTGTCTATTCTTTTTGAATAACTTATCTACTGATTTCCCCTGAATAAATGCAGTACCGGTAACCACTTTTCTGCTTTAAACCATACAAAACATTTTCCATGGGTATATTATTATGTATTCACACTGATGTCACACATCTAGTAGTGTTAATACAGTCAAACCGGTGTATTATGGCCACCCAAGATACTTAGTCTTTTATAGACAGGGTGATTAATTTCAAAATAATGACAATCTCTCTGTTTAAGGGGTAATTTGTGAATAAATATTTGAAGATGGAGAATCAATAAATACATG